GTTTCCAGGTGCTCCAGTGGCTAGGACTAGGCATTTCACTGACGAAGCCCGGGTTCAATCCCTAGTCAGGAAGCTAAGATCCCACAGGCTGTGCCGCACAGCCAAATAAAATAAAATAAAATAAAATAAAATAAAAAGTTGTTAGACGATACCAATATCAGGAACAAAGATGAGTGATTACTATGGGCATTAAAAGAATAATAAGGAAATATTTACTAACTTTATAGCCATAAATTCAATAATTCCAGTGAAATGGACAATTTTCTTAAAAGATACAAAGTACCAAAACTCACTCAAGAATAAACAAATCACCTGAATAGTCCTACATGTATTACAGAAATTGAATTCACAATTAAAACCCTTCAGAAAAGAAAATTCTAGGTTCAGTGATTTTACTAGCCATCATATGGATAAATCTCGAATGCATTATGCTAAGTAGAGGAAGTCAGACTTAAAAGACTACATATATAATATTCTAGAAAAGGCCAAACTATGTGGATGGAAAAGTAGCTTAGTGGTTTAAATGGACTGGGGGGAAAAGGAAGGCTTGACAATAAAGGTGCACAGGGAAACCGGTGGTAGGGATGAGGGGTACAAAGGAATTCTCTAACTTGATGGTGGTGGTAACAGGATTGTATTTATTTGTCAAGACTTGCATGATTGGATACAATTTACTATTTGTATATTATACCTTAATCAAAAAGGTTTTGACAAGTGGATAGTGGATCTATACATAGTAATTTACCTTAAAGAATTGAGTGGGCTATGAAGAAAGGCAAAAACATAATGATCTATAACACAGAATTCTCAAAAAGAAACACTGTGTCTAGATCTGACTAGGAAGGAAAGAATATTGGAGGGAAAGCTGTTTTAGAGTTATATCCCCAAAGCTCCCTGTTCCATATCTCTAGGCTAGTATACCTTACTGACTATTGCAAAAATCTGAAGTTTTGTTTTCTGCTGGGAGTAAAACAAGAAATTCACATTGAGGAGTCGCAGGGCAGTTCAGGGCCCTTAGATGCCAAAACTGGAAGGTTAGGAGATGGCTTACTTAATGAAGAGTATGCCACCTTTGACCTGAGCTGCCAGAACCCTGAAGTAAGACTCCCACCTTCAAGAAGGAGTTTGGGATCCTCTGGAGAAGCTAAGTCCAAGAAAGATGTCCTAAAGATACTGACATCAGCATCTCTCCCATGACTCATCCAGTTCTCTCCCTAGGAAGTTCAAACTAAACAAGCTAGGTTCATATCCGAGAATTTCCAATCACTTTTTATTCCAACACTCATGATGTCAAATAGAAGACCAGACATCCAAGGAAAATCTCTAAACACAGAAAATAAGCATTGAATCAATCAAGTTGAAAACAGCAATTTGTAGGAAACAAACTCAGCTGGGAGAAGAAAACAAAAGTCATTAAGGATGTCAAGTTCTTTAAAGTTTAGAAAAAATGAATACGTTTCACTTTATTCCTCCCAGTGACCACAATGCCACAAGCCACTTACCATTAGATTCTGAAAGGTGGACAAAAGGAGGCAAATTAGCTAGGGACCTCAGGACTCAAATACCAACCCAGTGGGGAGTTTCCTGGGGTTTTCTTTCCTCCCATGTATCCAACTTGAGGTTAGAGAAGTCTGAAATCTGGAAATATCAACCTGGAAATCACACACATACACACGCCTTAAGAAAAGCCAAAGGTCCAGAAAAGTTTTGCCTACCATGACAAAAACCTTTTCACCACTATGTTCTTGTGGCAAACATGAGGAGAGCTGCAATTCCAAAACAGGCATTTCAGACACTGAATTCATTGATAAGAGGCTATGTTCCAACCTCTTTTCCCTTTAGTAAGGTGGTCCTCATGGAACCTGTGAGCCAAGATATCTCATACTCAGCATTATTGGCATTTGGGGCTGGAAAAGCCTTTGCTCTGGAAGGATATACTATGCACCCCATAGGATGTACAGCAGTATCCCTGTATAACCCATCAGATGCCAATAGCACACTCTCCCAATTCCTATAATCAAAAATGTATACAGATATTACCAAATGTGCTCTTGGAACATCACCCCTGATTGAGAACCAATGCTATCTGACTTCACAACCTCTTGCAGGAAGGATAGGACCTGCAAGTCAGACACATTGTAGAGCCTGTCTTCTCTCCTCACCTGCAGTAGGAGGTAACACCCTTCCCCGTCTCAAGCCAGCACTGAGAATACTATGAGGTGGGATCCCATCATCTTGGAAGCATGCAAGTGGACAAACAAGAATAGCCCTGCAGAGACTTGATAAACTGCTGTTGGAACCACAGTTCACTAGAGTGAGCCAGGATGTGCATTCTGGACCTAAACATATTTTTCAACCTGCTAAAATAGAAGATTTAAGTAGGAACCAGCGTCTCATGAGTAATACTCAAAATGCATAGGACACAGTCCAAAATTATTTGTCACACTATTGAAGTCACTCAGTTGTGTCCGACTCTCTGTGACCCCATGGACTGCAGCTACAGGGCTCCTCGCCCCATTGGATTTTTCAGGCAAGAGTACTGGAGTGGGTTGACATTTCCTTCTCCAGGGGATCTTCCCAACCCAGGGATGAAACCCAGGTCTCCTGCATTGCAGGCAGACACTTTCCATCTATGCCACCAGAGAAGCCCTTGTCACACTAAGCCTTTGTCACACTAAGAACCAGTAAACTCTCAATTCCAATAAGAAAAGACTATTAGCCAGTCAGAACAGCTGCTCTCCAACAGTCTACAAGCAATAAATGCTGGAGAGGATGTGGAGAAAAGGGAACCCTCTTACACTGTTGGTGGGAATGCAAACTAGTACAGCCACTATGGAGAACAGTGTGGAGATTCCTTAAAAAACTGGAAATAGAACTGCCATATGACCCAGCAATCCCACTCCTGGGCATACACACCGAGGAAACCAGATCTGAAAGAGACACGTGCACCCCAATGTTCATCGCAGCACTGTTTATAATAGCCAGGACATGGAAGCAACCTAGATGCCCATCAGCAGACGAATGGATAAGGAAGCTGTGGTACATATACACCATGGAATATTACTCAGCTATGAAAAAGAATGCATTTGAATCAGTTCTAATGAGGTGGATGAAACTGGAGCCTACTATACAGAGTGAAGTAAGTCAGAAAGAAGAACACCAATACAGTATACTAACTCATATATATGGAATTTAGAAAGATGGTAATGATAACCCTATATGTGAGATAGCAAAAGAGACACAGATGTATAGAACAGTTTTTTGGACTCTGTGGGAGAAGGCAAGGGTGGAATGATTTGAGAGAATAGCATTGAAACATGTACATTATCATATGTGAAACAGACCTCCAGCCCAGGTTGGATGCATGAGACAGGGTGCTCAGGGCTGGTGTACTGGGAAGACCCAGAGGGGCAGGATGGGGAGGAAGGTAGGAGGGGGGTTCAGGATGGGGAACACATGTACACCCATGATTGACTCATGTGAATGCATGGCAAAAACCACCACAATATTGTAAAGTAATTAGCCTTCAATTAAAATAGTTAAATTTTTTAAAAAAAGACTTAATGAGCACCAACATCAAGCTCACATAGCTGTTGAATTACTGGGCAAGGATTTTAAAGCAGCCATTATAAAAGTTCTCCATTGAACAATAATGAACACACTTGAAACATATTAAAGAACAAGAAACAGTGGAGAAATAGAAATTACTGGTAATACATTTAAAAGACAAGGGGTTAATATCAAGAAATAGAGTGTACAGAGATGTCCCAATACCTCCTACGCTGATACATGCATTGACTGCCCATTAACAACCTCTGTACCTTCTGTCTACTTTTGCTGTTAACCTAAAATTGCTATAAAAAATAAAATCTATTTTTAAAAAAAGAAATATAAAAACCAGAGCAGCGGGTGGCAAACTACTGACTTCTGTACATCTGAACTAATGTACATGTGTACATTCTTAACTAAGAACAGTTTATACACTTTTATTGCTTGGGTTAAAACAAGAAAATATTTTATGAGATGCAAAAATAAAATAAAATTCCAGTTTCAGTGTCTGTAAATGTTGGAATATGGTCCTGTTCATTTGTGTATGTATTGTCACAGCAACAGAGTCCTGAAGTTTCCAGAGAGGGGGCTTAAGTACTATAGTGCATTTTTCCAACCCCCTTTCATCCCCAACATCTGTATAACTTGCTTTATTCAATGGTACATTAGCGAATATGATCAAGAAGAGGTGTGAAAAGTGCTTGTGTATTTCTGAAATGCTGGAACTGAGAGCTGGAACAAATTTAAGCTTGCTGGCTGGATGTTGGGAGACTCGGGATGAAATTATTCCCATTGCATTAACCAACAGCCAGGCAGCTGAGGAGGGAGAGAGACCACCACCACCCAGGGAGAAAGACCACCCAGAGTCTAACTGAGCACTCTCCAGGGAGTGAAACCTCAGAGAGCCAGCCCTGGTGGGGTGGGGGCGGCGGTGTGTGGAGGAGCGAGACAGCCGGTGCTAGTGCAGTGGGGCCTTCCTACTATCGCGCTCCTGGGCACCGTCACGTGTTTATGACGTCACAGGTTGCGCGCTCCAGCCCTGACATCCTTGAGGCAGGCCCACATGGCCGCCGCCCCGACTGGCCCTCAGAAGAGGTGTGAAAAGTGCTTGTGTATTTCTGAAATGCTGGAACTGAGAGCTGGAACAAATTTAAGCTTGCTGGCTGGATGTTGGGAGACTCGGGGTGAAATTATTCCCATTGCATTAACCAACAGCCAGGCAGCTGAGGAGGGAGAGAGACCACCACCATCCAGGGAGAAAGACCACCCAGAGTCTAACTGAGCACCCTCCAGGGAGTGAAACCGCAGAGAGCCAGCCCTGGTGGGCTGGGGGAGGCGGTGTGCGGAGGAGCGAGACTGCCGGTGCTTGTGCCGTGGGGCCTTCCTACTATCGCGCTCCTGGGCACCGTCACTTGTTTATGACGTCACAGGTTGCGCGCTCCAGCCCTGACATCCTTGAGGCAGGCCCACATGGCCGCCGCCCCGACTGGCCCTCGCACTGTGCCTGGAGAGCCCTGGCCCACGACCCTGAGCCTCCTCCTGCTCCTGTTTCTCCTGCCTCCCACCCAGGTTGCAGCCACAGCCCACAGGCACCCTGCCAGTGAGGAGGTCGCCTTTAGCCGTGATGTGGGTAGGACCCGTCCACGCCCAGGTTGGCGGTGGTCCTGGTGGTGAATCTGGTGAATCCCGGGCTTCCGACTCCCATGGGTGGAGACCCAGCCTTCCGCGGTCCTTTCCTTTTTCCACGCCTCCCACCCTCCCTCCCTTCACTTTGCATGTGGCCACCCTGGTGCCACTGCTACTCACACCCTTTGTCATCCTTCCTTCAGCCTGTGGCCAGCGTCCTGTGCAAGGGAAGATACTGGGAGGCGTGGATGCCCTTGAGAGAAAGTGGCCGTGGCAGGTCAGTGTGCACTACACAGGTTTCCACATCTGTGGTGGGTCCATCGTTGATGAGTACTGGATCCTGTCGGCTGCCCACTGCTTTGACAGGTGAGTGGGCGGTGATGGATACCCTTCCCATGGAGGTATAGGGCTGCAGGACCAACCACATGGACTACGTAGGACTGGGACTTCTTGAAGTTGGGGAGAGAATGGGACCCAGCACACAGCTCCATTCACTACAGCTTCTTGCACAGGACTGAGGGCTCCCGTAGGGCCATCAGCTCTTCCGGATAGGTGTGGAACAAAATAATAGGATGAGAGGTGAGGTGAGGAGTCACATCTTAGGATGATAGGATGGGAGGTGATGAAAGACATAACCTCTGCATGAGACGGGTGCTCAGGGCTGATGCACTGGGACGACCCAGAGGGATGGGATGGAAGGATGGAGGGATGGGATGGGAGGGGGAATCGGGTTGGGGAACACATGTAAATCCATGGCTGATTCATGTCAATGTATGGCAAAAACCACTACAATATTGTAAAGTATTTAGCCTCCAACGAATAAAAATAAATGGAAAAAAAAAAGACGTATCCTCATTGGCAGCTCACTGTACATCTGACAAGCTCACCATCCAGCAGATACTGGTGAGTCCTTGAATCCTCCATGTACTCAGGTCAGGGCTTCTTTGGGAGCAATTCTGCCAGTCAAGTCCCTGCTGTGCTGAAACGGCTCACTTTCCACATCCTGGCTGAGAGCTTGGATGCCCAGGCCCCTGTGTTCCAGGACTCCTTGGGCCTGTGAGCTCATGGAAGCTCCTCTTCCCATGGTTCAGGTGCTTGAACAACTGTACCTTTGTTCTCTCTCTCTACAGGAGTACGAACACTGAGGCATATGATATATATGTGGGCCTTGTGGACCTCCTGGTTGCTGGCAATCACACACAGTGGTTTGAGGTGAATAGGGTGATCATACACCCCACCTACGAATTGTACCACCCTATTGGAGGCGACGTTGCTCTGGTGCAGCTGAAAACCCGCATTGTTTTTTCCGACGCTGTGCTTCCCATCTGTATTGCACCCCCAGACTTGACTCTTTCGAACCTTTCTTGCTGGGCTACAGGATGGGGATCCATCTCCCAACAAGGTAAGAAAACAAAGTGCAGGGTGGATCCCTTTATTGGAGCTTGTGGAAGAGATGATGGCTTTATGACATTACTGGAGGGAACATGTTCTGTCCATTAAGGGGTTGCAAGTATCTGAGGACTGGAATCTTTATCCATCCATCAATCACGATATGTTTCTCTGTCAATGTGGAGTTGTGCTTTATTCCTGGCTGGCTTTGTTCTATACAGAGAAGTAGTTACATCTACTTTGAGTGTGAAACTAATATTTTGTATACCAAGAGCACAAATTTCCAGCGTAGTTGTTCTTAAAATTTTAAATTCAATTTATAATCTTTTTTAACTTATGAAAAAACACATTAGTTATTCTAGTTATCCATAAAGGCCTTGTACTTTCTTTCTAGGTTTAAATCTTTGTATTTTAGGATTTCTATGGTTATATAAAAGATTATTTTTAATTGCATTTGCTAATCAGACACAGCTGTTGATTTCTGTGTATTGATAATATTTCCACTCACCATATAAGGCTAATTTTTAATAGTTTGTCAGTTGATTATTTAATTGTTCTAGATTGTTAAATATAGTTTCTTCAGATAAAGCTTGTTTCATCACTTCCTGTTCTATATGTTATCCTTAATTAATTTTTCTTATCTTATTGCAATGATTAGAACCTCTAGTAGAAATGTTGCTAGGTCTCTTTTTCTTGTTTTTTATTTTAATTGAAATGCTTCTAATAGCTTACTGTTGCATCTGTGGCTTGATTTGGAGATTTCAAATTGATATATCAGTTTAAGAAAGTTTAACATCTGCCCTACTTAATTAAAAAAACTCTTATTGAAGTTAAACTGATATAAATTCAAATTAGAATGTTAAAACTTTAGAATGTTAAATGTAATCCCCATGGTAAACATGAAAGGAAATTAAGAGAAAATTTAAATATTTCACTACAAAAAATCAACTAAATGCAAAGAATACAGGAATGCAAGAAAATGAGGCAAGGGGGAAGCTATAAGGCATGTATAAAGTAAGTAGTAAAATGACAGAACCAAGTTCCTCCTTACCAATAATTACTTTGAATGTAAATGGTTGAACTCTCAAATCAAAAGACACAGTCTGGAATTAGGGACATAAAGCCAAGATGGTGGAGTACACCTCCTCTCACTGGAACTCGTAAATTACAGTCATTGATAAAACAACTATTGATGAGAGAGACTGGAATCCACCAGAGAAGATTTTCTACAACTAAAGATGGGAATCATAAAGAGATGGGTAGGAAGGGCAAAGTCATAGTATAGTCAAGACCTATACGCTTGGGTGGATGACCCACAAATAGAATAATTACAAATATGGAGCTTCTCCCCAAGGAATAAAGGGTCTGAACCTCACATTGGGCTCCCTGGTCCTGAAGTCCTATACCAGGAATATTTGGTTTTGGAGGCCAACAGGCCTTACTTTTGGGACACTCAGAAACCTGTGAGAAATAAAGACTCCACTCTTAAAAGGCATGTATAAAATCTCACATGCTCCAGGACCTAGAGCAGAGTAGTAATTTGAAAGGAGCCTGGGTCAGATCCACCTACTTATCTTGGAGAGTCTCCCCGAGAGGTAGGAAGCAACTGGAGCTCATCCTGCAGACATAGACACTGGTGGCACCATTTAGGGGAGCTCATTCTATCACATGAACACTGGTGTTGACAAGCACTATTTTAGAATCCTCTATCTAGTTTATTGGGCTTCCCTAGTGTAAAGGATCTGCCCGCAATGCAGGAGACCCAGGTTCAATCCCTGGGTCAGGAAGATCCCCTGGGGAAGGGAATAGTTACTCACTGCAATACTCTTGCTTGGAGAATTCCATGGACAGGGGAGCCTGATGGGCTACAGTCCATGGGACTGCAAAGAGTCAGACATGATTTAGTTCACCACTGACCCACCTGGGAAACCAACATTACATCCCTAGTACTTATTTATCTTGTAACTGCTGGAAGTTTATAACTTTTGACTGCCTTCAACCAATTCCATCCTCCCTCAACACTCCGCTGCCACTGGTAATCACAAAACTAATCTCTTTTTCTATGAGTTTGTCTTTGAAGTATGGCTAATTGATATATTAGTTCCTGTTATATGACAGAGTGATTTGGTATTTCTCCACAGCTTAAAATTATCACCATGATAAGTCTAATTATGATATGTCACTATACAAATATATTACATAATTTTTTATTTTATTCTGCACACTGTACATTTCATGCCTGTGACTCATTTATTTTACAACTGGAAGTTTGTACCTCTTAATCTTCCTCACCTATTTCTTTCCGTTCTCCAACCCCTCACCTCTGGCAACCACCTGTTTTATCTCTGTATCTATAGCTCTGTTCTGTCTATTCATTTGTTTTCTTTAGATTCCACATATAAGTGAAATCATACAATATTTGGGCTTCCTTGGTGGCTCAGATGGAAAACAATCTGCCTGCAATGCGGGAGACCTGAGTTCAGTCCCTGGGTTGGGAAGATTTCCTGGAGAAAGAAATGGCACCCCACTCCAGTATTCTTGCCTGGAGAATTCCATGGACAGAGGATCCATGGAGTTGCAAAGAGTCAGACACAACTAAGCAACAATACACACACACACACACACACACACACACACACACACATTTGTCTTTCTCTGTCTGACTTATTTCACTCAGCACAATATCCTCTAGATCCATCCATGTTGTTGCAAATGGTAAGATTTAATTCTTTTCTATGGCTGGGTAAATTCCATTGTATATACATACCACATGTCCCAGTTAACTCAAGAGGGGTGGGATGGGGAGGGAGATGGGAGGGAGGTTCAAGAGCGAGGGGACTTATGGCTGATTCATGTTGATGTTTGACAGAAAACAACAAAATTCTGTAGGGCAATTATCCTTCAATGAAAAAAGAAATAATTTTTGTTTAAAAAAAAACATCAATCCTTTGGTTCTCAGCTTTCTTTATGGTCCAACTCTCACATCCATACATACTGGAAAAGCCATAGTTTTGACTATACAGACCTTTGTCAACAAGTAATGTCTCTGCTTTTTAATATATAGATAGATAGGAGATATACATATAGATAGATATAGATATAAATATATAGAGAGTTGTATAAGCTATTATATATTTTGGATATTAACACTTATAGGACATATTACTTGGAAATATTTTCTCTCATTCAGTAGGATGTCCTTTCATTTTGTAACTTTCTTAGTGGTATCCTTTACCTTGCTAAAACTTTTAAGTTTATAACTTGATTTCATTTGTTTATTTTTCATTTTCCTTTCTCTCCTAAAGAGACAAGCCCAAAACACTATTGCTACAATTCATATCAAAGAGTGTTCTGTGTATATTCTCTTTTAAGAGTTTTGTGGTTTCTGGTCTGATGTTTAAGTCTTTAATCTATTTTCAGTTTATTTTCATATGTGGTATGAGAAAATGTTTTAATTTCATTATTTTACATGCAGCTATTCCAATTTCCCAGCACCATTTATTGAAGATGGCCTTTTCCTTATTGTATATTTTTGCCTCGTTTGTTGTAGATTAATTGAACATAAGTATGTGGATTTATTTCTGGGTCCTCTATTGTTTTCCATTGATCTACATGCCTGTTTTATGTGCCAGTACCATACTGTTTGAGTACTGAAACTTTGTAGTATAGTCTGAGGTCACCCACCATGATACTTAGAACTTTGTTCCCTCTTCTCAATTGCCTTGGCTATTTGTTGTGTGTGTGTGTGTGTGTGTGTGTGTGTGTGTGTGTGTGTGAGACTCCATATAAATTTTAGGATTATTTGTTCTAGTTCCGTGAAAAATATCATGGGTATTTTGGTGAGGGTTGCATTAACTCTGTAATGATTTAGGGTAGTATGATCATGTTGTACTGTCCTTAGTCACTCAGTTGTGTCCGGATCTTTGCAACCCCATGGACTGCAGCCCTCCGGGCTCCTCTGTCCAAGGGAATTCTCCAGGCAAGAATACTGGAGTGCACTGCCACACCCTCCTCCATGGGATCTTCGCAACCCAGGGATCAAACCCAGGTCTTCCACACTGCAGGCAGATTCTTTACTGCTGAGCTGTATATATAAATATGCACACACACACACACACACACACATTTGTTGTTCAGTCACTAAGTCATGCGTGACTCTTTGAAACCTCATGGACAACAGCACGCCAGGCTCCTCTGTCTTTCACCATCTCCCAGAGCTTGCTCAGATTCATATCCATTGAGTCAGTGATGCTATCTAACCATCTCATCCTCTGCTGCCTCTTTCTCCTTTAGCCTTCAACCTTTTCCAGTAAGTTGGCTCCTTGCATCAGGTGGCCAAAGTATTGGAGCTTCCGCTTTAGTGAATATTCAGGGTTGATTTCCTTTAGGATTGACTGATTTGATCCCCTTGCAGTCCAAGGGACTCTCAAGAGTCTTCTCCAGCACCACAGTTCAAAAGCATCAATTCTTTAGTGCTCAGCCTTCTTTATGGTCCAACTCTCACATTTGTACATGACTACTGGAAACATATGGACTTTGTTGGCAAAGTGATGTCTCTGCTTTTTAACGTGCTGTCTAGGTTTGTCATGATTTTCCTTCCAAGGAGCAAATGTCTTAATTTCATGGCTTCAGTCACCATCCACAGTGATTTCAGAGTCCAGGAAAATAAATTCTGTCACTGCTTCCACTTTATCCCTTCCATTTGCCATGAAGTGATGGGGCCAGATGCCATGATCTTAGTTTTTTGAATGTTTAGTTTTAAGAGAGCTTTTTCACTCTCCCCTTTCACCCTTACCAAGAGACTCTTTAGTTCCTCTTTGCTTTCTGCCATTAGAGTGGTATCATCTGTGTATCTGAGGTTGTTGATATTTGTCCCAGCAGTCTTGATTCCAGTTTGCAATTCATCCAGCCTGGCAATTTTCATGATGTACTTTGCATATAAGGTAAATAAGCAGGGTGATAATATACAACCTTGTCATACTCCTTTCCCAATTTTGAATCAGTTAGTTGTCC